ACTTGAAACTTGAAACTTGAAACTTGAGCCTCCAAGGCCCTGTGGTATTACATGGTGGACCCTGAAAGGGTCTTTGTGTTTAATTTTGTTTCTTTCCTCATCTTCTTCTTCCTAGAACCTAGAAATGAGCCAAAAATCGGTTCACTAATCCGGCCTTCTTTCCTCTTTCCCTGACCTAAAAAGTGAGCCAAAAGCAACCTTATCTTCTGCCTTTTTGTACCTAAAAAGAGACTCTTCTTCATTCCTTTCTCTTTCCCCACCTGTAACATGAGCTTAAAAATAGACTGGACTCGCGGTAACGCCGCGATCTTGCGTGCTTTATATAGCTTGGCCGGCTGGCGCGTTGCCAGGGCCCCCATGCAGTATCGCCCGTACACGGTTACGCGCGTGGTGCAATCCCTTCTCTCTCACCTGACGTTGCCAGTGGTGTGCCAACCTGGGCCAACCTGCCACAGTCTGATGCACTCCCTGCTTTATGACGTGTTCTTGTGTGTTTGCCCCCCCCCAAATCATTGCATGAATCTGTTGCTGAATGTTGTAATATGTTGCATGTGTAATTTCTGTGTTGCTGATTTTCTCTGCAAATTGTTATCATCTATCTGCTAATATTTTGCTTCAGGTGGAAGATGGAGCCGTTGATCCAGATGAAACTTTGCTTGGCTACCTTCGCAACAAGCGTATCCAATTACAGCGCGTCTGTTCAAATTCGGTTCAGAAAAAACCCATCAGATGTCGCATTCCACAAAAAATCTCTTGCCTGCTGTGTCCTGCCTTATTTAATTATGTCAGTCGGAAATTGGTCACAAAGAGTAAAGTTTACTGCAGAAAAGTAAAATGCAATGAGCAGGACGGAGGAACACTGGGGGTGGAGGAGAAGGGAGGAGGATCACAGAGACGATGGTGCGATAAGTCGTGGTGAATAAGAGAAAAAGTTAAGGGTGAAGAGTAAAATGAGGAGTGAGCAAAAGAGAGGAGAATATGGAGGAGGAAGGAAGAGATAGAGATGGTAGAGGAGGAGGGAGGAGATGGAGTATGAGGGAAGATGACGGGAGAAGAGGGAAGGGGTTACAGGAAGTGGACAGATGAGGAAAATGGGAGGTAAGAGCTAGACGGTGATAGGATGGAGGAGATAGAGGTGGAGAAGGAGGAGGGACATAGTGTTGAGGAGGAAAAGAAGGTCCTTCCTTCTTCATTTCCTCTCCTCCTATCCTGCTTCATCTTCCTTCCTCTTTGCAGTAGAAATCCAAGGGCTACTATTTTCCATAGATATTTTTCTGTGGATCGTTTGACAAGATACTGATTTTTTTCATTCAGTAATTCTGTTTAATTCAGGCTGATTGAAATTGAACAAGTCCGCACCTGCAGCTACAACACACACGCATCTATTGACTATATATAACAACATTATATATAGTTATATATAACTACTATATAAACTATGGCTACTATAACAACTATAACTACTATAACAACTATATATATAACGTTCTTATATATAGTCAATAGATGCGTGTGTGCTGTAGCTGCAGGTGCGGACTTGTTCTTGCTGCCAGTGCATGGGTCGAATGGGAATTCTTGCCGAGGTGGCCCCTCACTACCGTCTGGAAAAAAGGGATAGAAAACAAGAGTTCGCTAAGATTGTATAAAGAAAAAAAGACGCCTGGTAAAGATCGAGTCCTTTTATGATAATAGCTATGTAGTCTTGGGAGTAGCCTGCTCTTTCAATGCAGAGCGGGGTGCTTGCCATTGAATAAACGAACTAGACACTGGAAAGGTGAAAATAAATGCTTAATTTGTGGGAAGGAGAGTTGGAGACCCTGGAGCACTTTTTACTAGAATGTCCTGGATATGAAACCCATAAAAAAAGTTTTTTCATATGAGTAAACGTACTAGAACAGCTAGGTTTGGAGGCAACAGAAACATCACATGACATGCAGGAGGAGCTCTTGATACTTGGAGATACTTTGGAGAGCTAGATCAGCTGCACTCAGAAATCTAAGGGGATACAAAATAAATTTTTTTCCTTCTTTTTTTTTCTCTTTTTTTTGCAGGAAAATACCGATCTAAAGGTTCTTTCCCAGTCATACATACATACATATATGAACATATACTTTCTGACACATACAATCATGATACATATTACAATGTCATTGTCAATGCCAATGACCAAAACCAATGCCAAAAACTAACGCAAATGGGGACGTAAAACCAAAACTAATCTGGCTATGACCTTTCAGTGCCATTCAGCTAAAATTAAGGCTATAACTACGTGGCTTTACCCAAGCTAGGTCCCAACGCGGGCTATAGCTACTACTAGAGCTAACCAATGATATGATTGGTAGATTGGTGAGAATCTCAGGCTGAGATAAACGCACGTGCATTATTTATACTCACTCTCATCCCATTGACATAAAATGTAAGTGATTCTGCCATCGCAAGAATAAAACTCTCACTGGCATAGGTCTACCTGCTCTCAAGTCCCACTGTGCCAGACCCCTTGGCAGTGGCGCGTAGCTAGGATTTTTTCAGCGGGGGGGGGGCACTGGGGGGCCTTACATTTTCG